AATAGGGTGAATACATCTCATTACACTGATTTACTGGTAGTCTCAAAACCCTACTCTCATACGAATATAATTTCATATAGCCTTGTTTCCCAAAAGTTATTCTCATCTCGGCTTGAGTTGATTGTAGTTTCGACCTCGCTTAGGTTTCGTCAACACCCTAAGCGAGATTCGTACCATCACAGAGGCATTTTCCGATATCACATTCTGTGGTGTAATTGTCGATGAAGTAAAGTTGCATTCTAGTACGCTACTTATTTGTCGTTTATAAGTAGGTATTCGAGACTAAATTTCATGTATAGGATCTACTGGTAGTCTGGAATGTCAACTTATGAACAAAAATATGCAATGCAGTGATTGCTATAGCAACTACAACTTTGCTTCATCGACAATCCTACTACAGAATATTTTATGGAAGAATGCCTGGCCATCCAGGAAATGCACATCTATCCTGTGGCCTAAGGGTACTCGTGACAGTTTGGCGTAGCAGTTAACGCATTGAGATTATACACTGCATTGGCATGATTCGAGTCCCGCTAGGGGTGCTGATGAGTAAGTACTAAACAAGGTCGAAACTACAGTCTAGTCCAGCTTGGATGGAAATACTATTTTGGCAGCAAGACTATGCGAAATGGCATGGATACGTGAAGCCTACTCATATGACTGTGTGAAAATTCAACTACCAGTCCTTCATCAACTTAAACGAAATAGGCTGAATACATCTCTTGAATAACCTCTCTTTCCTCTTGGTCACATTGTACCTGCTCACCGGAATATAGGTCGTGGAGGAGGGTTGCTCAACAATCCTATTTTGTTCCCTGAAGGAGGATACGACAATGCCTCCAGCTCGACTGGCTTTTTCCTCTTCGAGCAGTCCACTCGTCAGTTCCTCGGACTGTGGCTGTAGATGAAGCTCGCTCAGGTTCGAGGAGGACTGAGGTTGGTCAGCATAGCCAGTCACCTGGGCTCCTGGGCCAACGTGGCTGGTCAGTGGGTGTGTGTGATGCGGGTCCGAGTAAGTCGTCATGAGAGGGTGTGAATGTGATGTGGGCGGCTGACTCTGTGCGTGGTGATGATGGAGGTCGTGGTGAAGCTGGTGGTGCTGATGTTGTTGCTGTTGCTGATGCTGATGCTGGTGGTGTTGGTGCTGATGCTGATGCTGGTGACTATGCGGGAGTGGCAAGTGAAGCAGGTGTTCGTTGAGCCGGGTTTGACCGTTGAATGTGTGTAGGGGAAGATGGTATGGCTCCTGGCGCTGGTGTTGCTGTTGCTGTTGCTGTAGGTGTTGGTGCTGTTGGTGTTGATGTTGTTGTTGTTGTTGATGCCGTTGTTGTTGTTGTTGTTGTTGTTGTTGTTGATGGTGTAGCTGTTGTTGATGATGATGTTGATGTTGATGTTGATGTTGATGTGGGTGTTGGTGTTGATGTGTGAGTGGGTGCGAAAGTGGGTGTGGGAGTGGATGTTGGTGTTGGTGCTGTAAGCCTGGTGGGTGCGGATGGTCCAGTTCTACCTGGTGTGCATGTGTCGGAAGTGAGTTCAAGGTGGATGCGTCATTGGGTTGATGCTGCCCTGCCTGACCGGCCGACGGACTGGTCTCGATCCGGCCTCCCAGGTACGCGGTCAACTGGGCCTCTTCAGAAAGGCCGGTGTAAACGCTTGCCGCGGAGGTCGCGGAAGTCGTGGAAGTCGTGGAGGCTGCGGATGCCACGGAGGTGACGAGCATTTCTGCACCGGTCATATGCGATGATTGAACGCGATAGACGCCCTGTTGTACAGCTGAATGGCGTCCCCTCGGACCGGGAGTCAGGCCGTCCGGAGCCGGATAGGCTGGCTGTCTGGTGGGCGCCAGGAGTTGGTTGATCGACTCACCGACCGGCTCCTCGACGTCCGATCCGAGGGTGAGGGTCTGTAGGAAGCTCTGCGAGTGTAATTCATGCGTTTGATCGGTGAGTTGAGCTGGGGCGGTTGGTGACGAGGACATGAGGAGAGACGAGAAAGTGGCATTCGCTGCAGTGTTGCCCAGGCCCGAGAAGGCCGGAGTTGGTAAACGCAATCTGACGGCAGATTCACTCGTGACGCCGGTGTCCATCTTGCCGGTTCCAGACTCACCAATGCCATCGCAGCCGCCTCTGGGCTCGTTGGTCTCGTTGCCAAGGCCATCGGGTTGTTGGCCCAGTTGTCGGGGCGATGCGAAATCCGGTAAGAGGAGACTGGCACCGGTGGTGGTGGTGACCGGATCACCGGTGCCTACGGACGGTTTCTCGTAGGCGGTCAGGAGGCCGTTGGGATTTGGCGAACTGGTCGACATCAACTGGGCCAAGTAGACGGAATGGCCAGCAAGGCTGTTGTCTGGACCAAGATCGTGGGAGGCTAGCAGAGTGGAGCTGAGCTGAGAGAAGGAGGAGGAGACGGTACTGTTGGAGGTGGTGAAGCTGCGGCCGACTTGGAAGGGGACAGTTGGCGGAGACATCGTCGAGTCCGCCTGAGTGGCCGAAGAGGCGGCGCCCGTAAGCAGAGTACAGTTTGTGTCCTCGACAAGGCTGTCCGTCTGTACGTTGAGCGTTGGCATAAGCTGAGCTTGATCCCGACTAAACAGGCCAAATGGGCGCACAAGACAAAGGATACCACATATTAGCTTACTCAACACTATGACGACCGAGATGGTTTGGCTGCCAGCTCGGTCAAGGGCTATTTTCGCTTTATACAAATGGTTTAACCTCGTTTTCCAAACTTTATCCTGTTGTCATAGCAACCTGAAATGACCTCAAATTACCGGGTTTAGAAGAATGTCTGGGTAGATTGATATTGGCATACCGAAGGAGGAATGCACAGTGAATGAGTCATTTAAGCTGAGCATTCGTCCGTCATACGACAGACATCTTCAAAGCAGGATACCAAGCTTAATAATCATTTATGTATGGAGTGTATTCAAGATTATACACTGCATTGTCAGGGGGAGGGGGATGTTGCTAAGACCTAGGAAATGTCGAGACTGCAATTGAAATATAAGGTCTATTCATATCATTGTGGGAAAAATTCACTTCCCCTTTCCATTCTCACTGTAGATAAAATAGAGTGAATACAGTTCATATATAAATGATGCATTGGTAGTCTTGAAAACCCAATTATTTAGAATAATTTTTCAAAACCTGATGGCAAGACCTGGATTCTTGTCTTTGTGTTTTGGTTAATTATCGTAAAGTCGTTACATTCTG